GGCGGGCGGCCAGACTCTGGGCGAGATTGGCCAGAGAGGCTGTGGCTGCCCCTCCCTGGAGGTGTTCAAGGCCAGGTTGGCCAGGCTGGATGCAACCTGGGCTGGTCGAGAGGTTGGATCAGATGATCTCTGAGGTCCCTTCCAGCCTCGACCACTCCGTGATTCTGTGGTTTGGCTCTTGGGTGCTGCACTCAGTCAGTTCTGGTTGAAGGTGTCGAGCCAGTCTAGCTACGAGCAGCAGCGAAACTTCTCGCGTCGCTTTCTCAAAGACGCGCTTGGGGCTCGTGCGGGCGCTGGGGTAGATGGGTTTGGGACCGACCCCGGCTCCATCTGGCGATACAGCACGCTTTTTTTCACAGCTGAGGAGGGAGTATGGGAACGGGGCTGACGCTAGATCTGCCTCTGGAAACAAGGAGCCGCAAAGCCCACTAATCTTTTTCTCTTCTTCCTCAGAATGGTTTCAGTTCCGTACAAGCCACGCCATTACAAACCACACAGGCCGTCGAAGGTAAGAGTCTGTCGGCGCGGTGCACGTCCTGACTCTCTCATGGTCTTTGCTTTGGATGAAAAGCTTTATCTGTTCTAACAGCAAGTCCTTTCCCTGCTGGCCTAATTGCTGCCACGAGGATTGTTTGCTTGTCTTGAAACCTTCGCTTTCAGCTGATGGATCTATGAGATCCTTGATGAGTCACTCCTTGATGACAGTAATTTCCTTGGATTTATTTGTGAAAGGCACCTCAGCTGTGGGTCTTGAAGCTCTTTGCAGAGCAGTGTTGGGGTAAAGTGAGAGGTAGAACCACAGTCACGCTCTCACAAGTGTGTAACTGGTTGGTAGCGATGAGGGAAGCCCCAGATCTCTCCTCTGAGCTCTTGCTGACACTCACCACCAAATTGCCCCCCGGGAGCTGTTCGTAGTTGCCCTGACGCAAAGTTTTCGGTCCGCAGGTGCTACAGGCCCCGCAGTGAAATCCGATTCCCCCTCCGCTCCCAGCATCGCTCCTCTCAACGACGGGGTATCCGCGTCGTCCTTGCTGACGACAGCCAGCCAACACTCGACAGCGCTGAGCAGCCTGAGCCACAGCGAGGAACTCCCCAGCACGACCAGCGCCCAGCTCAGCAGGTGAGCAAGCGTGGTGGGTGGGTTTCTGGAGAAGCAGAATTGGAAGCAGGGATCTGCTGACACCAGGCTGGGGGCAGTGTCGATGTGCCGGGGGGTA